TGATTACTTGAAGAAAATGTTTTTTCATTTTGGCAGAACTCAGGATAACTGCCTATTCAAACAGACCTTGCTATGGGATATGGAGAGGATAAGCAGAAATTTATTTATTTCTTTATAGCTATCTGTTGGTGTAACAACTCCGGTCCGTAATTAACTATTAATCCGTAATTAAGGATGTTAATTAAGTGGTTAAAAAAAAAAGTTATGTGTTTATTATGTATTTTGTATGTTTTTTGGGCCTTCAATCTGCTACTCGTAGTAATATCTATCATGATTTATGCTTTGATATGAATTTGATAGCCTAAACGGCCTCAGAAACTGAAATTGAGCACATGGATTGACTAATTAAAATTTTTGGAACCATCTGAGAAGTTTTGCTAAAAACTGATTCAGTTTAGTAAAATTGCATGTGATTAAATTAAGCCTTAATTAGAACTATTTTTGAATAATTGAATTTTGTGTTAACCTTGACTAATTAAGGTTATTTGTGTTTGATTTAAATGATGCATGATTGGTACCTAATCTAATTCTATTAATGATCCAAGATGTGATTAAGTGTATGATGTGCTAAGAAATTTTTGTGGTGTTGAGTGTAGGGGATTAAAACCCTTGTGTGTGTGTGTTGGAATTTTGCATGTGTGCACGTGTATTGTGCTCAAAGTGTGGTGTGTGTTGTGTATATTCTGATGAGTTGGGAATGTTGTATCATTCATTTGGCTTCATTGAGTTCATTCATGTCTTGAGCTAGAGAGAGAGATAGCTCATTCTAGAGAGAGAAAGCTTGTTTTTGTGCTAGAGATTGAAGAAACTAGGAGGGTTTATCTCACATTTCTGAAATTAATGCCTTGGATAAGGATTCTATGTCTAATTTCTGTAGCTATTCCTCCATGCATCATGATTTCATCAAGTTTTGAGCTACTTTCATGAGAATGCAAGAAAATGGGTCTTTAAACATGTAGATGGCTTTCATGAGTATTCATGGTAGATCATCTTTGAATTTTATCATTTTGAGTTTGAGTTTTAAAGTCTTTGCATGCATGTGAGCTTTAATCATGTCCATGTTTTAGAAATTCATGAGTTGCTTGATCACCAATTGCATGTTATGAAAACCATGAAAAGAGTTGAAATATTGCATGAAGGAATTTTTATTCAAATCTTTCAAGAATTGATGAGTTTTTGAATAAAAGATGTTTCAAGGGTCTTGTATTGAAGTTTTCTAAAGCTATTTTATGTGTTTGATCAAACCATGCAAGACCCCAAGGTTTGAAGGTGGTTTGGAAGCCATTTTTGTTAAGCTTGGTGCCCAGAAATTTACAGTTGGCTCGAGCGAAGAAGTGGTGGCTCGAGCCAACATTACGAGCTCTCAAAATTTTGAACTCTACAAAAGCTAGCTCGAGCGAAGGAGTTCTGGCTCGAGCGAGCTCTGTTTTTGCCTTCTGCAGGCTCTAGCTAAGAAAAGCTGGCTCTAGCCACCAACTTATTTTCAGCATGTTTTCAAAAGATGTTTTAAGTACATATCTTCACTCCCATCTCTTTATGGGCATTCTTAGGCATGATTTATGAGCTGTTAAAGATTAATAAGCTAAGAAATAACATAAGTAAGTGAATTAGAAAATGTGTTGAATCCAAGTATATGGGCAATATGAACAAGTTATGTAGCATGGAATGAATGGGAAATTAAAGTGAGAAAGCTAAGTCATGTATGGCCACATGAATGAGTAATAATGAGACATGTTTTGTGCCATGTACATTTATGTTTGTAGGTCAAGACTCAAAGACTGACCAACCGTTTCTGGAAGTCCACTGTGAGTAACATTTCTGTAAAGATATGTTAATATGAATTATGTTCCAAACGAGGATATGTTATGATTTCTGAAATGATATTGTTTACGTGAACGAATGTCCCATGTTTGAAATCTATTATGGCATCCATAGATAGTCTCAAGTCATGGGGAACGGCATGTAAATGCGGGTCCATGACATAACTGTGAATATGAGATCTCGTTAGCCATTTCATCGTGGTGATATGTGTTTAATCGGCATCCGGAACCGATTACTCTAGTCGGAAGACGATATGTAATATGTTCTATAAGATGTACCATTATGCTATGTTCTGATATGAGACTGATATGAATGATTGTGTCATGAATTGTTTTACGGATATGATATATTTGGAATTCGTTCACTAACCCTTTTACTTTAATGTTATTCACTGGGCTCTAGCTCACTGTTTTTATATATATATTTATAGGTAAGCGTTCTGGAGGGCAAGAGTAGGAGGGTTTTTACCGAGCTACTGTTTTGAAGCCTACCAAGTGTTTTGGGTGCCTCCGAGTTGGGGCTAGGCCTGGAAGGCCGTTAGCAAGCTTTCGGTTATGTTATATATTTTTGACCCGTACATCTGTTTTTTGTATAAGATATTGTGTTATATGTTATGTAATGTAAGTGGGTAAATTAACGCTTTTGCATGTGATTATTTGTTCATATAGATGCACAGCTTGTTGGACTATTGGTGTTTTGTTAATTGCTTCCGCAAGCCTCGATTATTTTGATTATATAGGAAGGCCTTCGGTAATCTAAGGATTACTGGCCGGTTACAATGCTAAACTTATAGGGGCGAGTTTGGGTCGTAACAGTTGGAAAAGTAAGGTCTGTTTGAGTAGGTAGTTATCTTGAAATGTGGTTAATTGGTGTTAACTAGGCGTCAGCAGAAAGAGAATTTGGATCTCCTTGAAATGTGGTGTTAGAGGACACTGTACTAGTAGTCATAGCTCATGATTGAAGATCTCCTTTCAAGGAGACCCAAAATCTCTTGAGAGAGTGGCATCTTGTTTAGGTCTTTTATGATTGGGGTTGCATGTAGCAACTTCTTATCCCCTCCTATCTGTATACATGCATAAATGACTTTCTCACATTGGCTTGTTTGTCAGGTGCTTGACATGTTTACATGCTAGACACACTAAATGTATAACTTGCCAAAGTTATTCAATTTTCTTCACCTATTTTTTGGGATGAAATAAAGTGTTTACATAACATATTGCTTTGTGAATTGAAATTTAACTCAACTCCATATATCCATGAGCCCGATCAAAGATAAAAGTAAAAACCAATTAAGAAGAGGACTATATTCATCTCTTTTGGTCAGGCATGTGAGTTGGATACACAATTGGTTACATGCACCCATGCTTTTGTTTCAAGTGTCCATATTCTTCGTTGTCATAATTCTAGTTAAGTATCATATATTGTTTTAATTTGTGTAATCATATCTTCTACTGGTCTCTTTCTCAGGTTTGAGTAGTCTGGTGAGTATAAATCTGTCATTCACTGTTACAGAATTATGAGGAGGGCTTTTAGGGGGGCAAGGGTAGGTAGGATTAGAGTCCTTATTTCATTGAGGGTTGCCTTTATGCAGTGAAAAAAGGAGTGCGGCTGTTACATCAGTTTACAGAAAGGTACCTTTTCCATGCTTATAGATATCAATACCCTCTAGTGAAAAATTAGAGAAGAAGAAAAAGATTAGCTTAGAGATTATTTCTATAGTTCATTATCTTATGTATTTGCTACTAAGTCCTCAAGTAGAATTACATCACATTGTCCCAAAAAGCGCATTAAGCTACTAAAATTTACCTAAATTTCTTCTATAATGGATTGAAAGTTTCTTTTTAAACTTGTAAATAATATACTCTAATTTGACCTAGACTCTTTTTTTTAGAACTTACAATGGTAATGGATGAAACCTATACAAATCTAAACCTCATACATAGAGATCCTTTAACATAATTACGCAAGTCCCCAAGTAGGTGCTGCATTGAAGTAGATTAATTCCATCTTTTCCTCTTTTTAAATTTGATTTTTCTCTTGAGCTTCGTATGGTCTGGATTTAGTAGCAAACTATTGAGATCTCGAATTTTTGCTAATTTTTCATTATGACATTGCTTTTGTGGGGCCATTGAATTATCTTATTAATTTTGGAAATGTTTTGTTGATGTTTTAAAATTTCTTGATCATTTCTTAATACCTCAAGAAATATTTTTGCTCCTGTGTCGTTGATTTTTATACTTATGTGAAGTTTCCTTTGTCATGCAGACAAGAAATCCAACAGGGTTAGTTGCTCCAGCTATTGTCACGGGTTTAGGTGCCTTAACACATACAATGGGCACCCTCATCCCTGTGATAGGAGCAAGTGGATTTGCTACAACTATAGCTGCAACTGCAACTGCTATAGAAACTATTGTCTGTAGTTTTAGATAATCTCTTAATAGTTGTTTATATGTTTAGAAAGTTAGATATGCATAGTTTTGGATAGTTTAGAACTTAAGGATATAGTTTTCGAATGTATAAACAATTGTTAAATGTTTATAATTTATGGATATAGTTTATTTTTTATGTTTCAAACAATATTTTGGTAGTTGATTGATGTTTTGTGATGCTTGTTTATAATATTTGTTAGATTGTACAAAATTAGTCAAATAGAACTTGCTGAATTTAAAAATAAAAATAAAAAAATTGCATATTCTACGGCAGGCATAATAAGTCGTATTACATATTTTACGGCGCGCAATCAGCGTTGTTATTTGTCTCACCAATTAATGATATGCAAAAGTTGTCGTAGAAAAAGTAACGACGCATAAAATCTGTCGTTAAATAGTTTTTAACGGCGTATTATAGCATGTCGTAGAAAAAGTAACAACGATGCACAAAATCTGCCGTTAAATAGTTTTTAGTCTCGTGCGAAGCATGTCGTTGAAAGTGAATGACTTTCCATGACTAGTCATAATATAAAGCACGCTGCATGTCGTAGAAGGGTTTTTACGGCGTGCATTGCGCGTCGTAAAAACCCTTTTTTGTTGTAGTGCAAGAAGGTTATTCATCATACCGGTCTTACTGACACTAAGATTTCTGATACTCCAATTGAGCTTAATGTTAAGCTCAACACTACTGATGGTGTTCTTCTGGACGATCCTACTCTATATCGCGAGCTCGTGGGTTGCTTAGTCTATATGACGATTACTCATCCTGGTCTTGCCTATGTTGTTCATGTGGTTAGCCAATTTGTCTCTGCTCCTTGCTCCACACATTGGGTTGCCTTGATTCAGATTCTTCGCTATCTCCGAGGTACTATATTTCAAGGTTTACTGTTGTCCTCTACTTCCTCTCTGGATTTGGTGGCCTATGCTAATTCTAATTGGGCCGGTGATATTACTGATTGCAAGTCCACGTCTAGTTTCTGTATGTTTCTTGGCAATTCCTTAATCTCTTGGAAAAGCAAGAAACAAATTGTTGTTACTCGCTCTACTGCCGAAGTTGAGTATCATGCTATGGCTCATGCTACTGCTGAAGTTGTCTGGCTTTGTTGTCTTCTCTCTGCCTTGGGCGTCCCTCGATCTTCTCCGACCTCTCTCTATTGTGACAACTACAGTGCTATTCAGATTGCCCACAATTCTGTTTTCCATGAACGGACCAAATACATTGAGATTGATTGTCACTTTGTTCGATAACATCTGCAGTTTAGCTCTATCTCGCTTCCTTTTGTCTTCTCAGCTTTGCAACTTGCAGAGTTCTTCACCAAGACTCACACTACCTGCTCGGTTTCAGTTTCTTCTTAGCAAACTCTCAGTGTTTTCTGTTAAAACACCTTGAGTTTGAGCGGGCGTGTGAGAATATATTGTGTATATATGGCATTGTGTATAATAGGAATTAGGCACGTCTTAGGCAAGATTGTTGTATTTTCTTTTTTAATCATAGATTTAGGACTATATAAACTGATGAACTCTTTGTAAACAAATAAGTTAAATATATAGAAAACTCAGAAACTTACAATTCCATGGGCATGAATAACGTTGTGATCTGATTTGTGTACGTTTATGAATTGTGTAGGATCATCGACAAGGACGAGTTAACAGCCAAATCACTGTGAGTAATATCTTAGTAAAGATATTTTTGTCTATACTCTATTTTCTGATTGTCCTTATGTGGTAAGATTTTGAATTTGTGATTTTACAAGGGTGAATGAGTTACCATCTGTTTGATCACTGAGTTATCTGTACATCTGATCAATGTAATGCAAATAAGAATGTTGGACTCAAGGTCATTCTGTATATACAAAAGTCAAGATAGACCCAAGGTCGTTCCGTTAAGAAATGATTGAATTTGATCTGTATATTTGTTATTTATTGGACCCGAGGTCGTTCCACTTTCTGTTGGACCTAAGGTCGTTCCGATATGAAATGCTTTATGATATGTAAATGCTTATATTATTTTAAGGAGCTTGTTCACTTAACCCCTTTACTCTGGTATAATTTACTGGGCATTAAGTAACTCCGTGTTTATATGTATGTAGGTGAGCAGGGGGATGTCCAGTCGTAGCCCTAGTGATTCTGTGAGAGATGTCAAGTTTCATGGAGTTACCCCAAGATGCCTCACATATGAAGCTTTTGATCTTTGATCTTTTGATTTTTCGATCTTCTATTTTCTTTTGATGGCCATTTGACCATGTATGTAAATATTGTAAGTTCTAAGTTGTATGACAAGAGATGTTTGAATGATCTTAGAAACATGAATTTTGTAACTATATGTTTAGTGTGAGTTATTATATACATTTGAAATGTTTTTGTTATGTCATATATGCACAACTTGTTGGACAAAATTTATTATTCTGCTTTTGCTTCTGGCCCTCTATTATTAAATATGATTTGATTTCTGTCTGAGGCTGTAGGTAATTTCACGATTATTGGCCGGTTATGATCCAAACCTTTTAGGGCGAGTTCGGGTCATGACAAAAATGATGGGAAGAAATGTTATCACCGTATAATAGGAAGTCGTGGAGAGAAGCATGGTAAAGAAGGAAACAAAATAAGCATTTTCAAGTTTTGTGGGAAAAAATAAATTTTCCGGTATATTTTGTGAGAAATCATAAGTCTAACTAACAAGTTAATTTGAGTTGTACATTAAACTTTAATTTTCATTACTTTTTAGGACTATCTAAACAAAGTTATTATATATTAATTTTTTTTGGATAAATATTGATGTGGAAAATAGAATTAGTTTCAGTGATAAATACATACAATGGAGATTGACCAATAAATTATTACTTTCTTTTATTATTATTTTATTTATATAATAAACTAGAATTTCATTCACAATTGTCTTGTTTCTGTTTTTACTAATTTTTTTTCCAGGTTGATGTTCATGTTTTGTATGCTGCTTTTATTCTCCTTTTCTTCCATGTTTGATTTGTGTATTTATCTGTCTAAACATGAGCCTTATCTTTGTTCTGGACATTTTCTTATTTCAATAAAATTAGCAAATAAATAATAAAGATGTCTGTTAAAAGATCAAAATAGTGTTAAAGGCCAAATTCATTTACAAATTATATTTTTGAAAGCTAAAATTTAAATATAAAAAAAAATAATAGTTACTTTGTATAGTGTTAAAGGTGTGGACATGGATTTAAAAGTTTCTTTTTTAGGACTGAATTTTTGATGATTAAATTAGGCGTGATGTTTGTTTGGTTGAACTTAAAATAACACATTTTTACGAAATAGTGCAAGTCTGACTCAATTTTCTTACGTGATCTATCTCCGGCACATTTTAATTTTCTTTCACCAGTCAACAGTTGTTTAATGCAAAGTGATTTTCGTTGGATTTTAAAAAAGAGATAAGTTTATTTTCCCTCACCCACCTAAAGAAAATTTAGTTATTTAATAATTAGGTGTTTTATTTTGTTAAAAATCTCTAAATTCAACAAATCTATTTGTTAGCAAATATATATGTTTAAAATTTTTTAAAAAGGTATCTTCTTAATTTTTTTGCATGCAATCAAATTTTATTTTAGCCTTGTAAAGAAGAAGAAGAAGAAGAAGAAGAAGAAGAAGATCACCTACCTGTCTATTCGAAGCTTACGGAGGGTCCTTGGCTTCAAATCATAAATAACAATCTAAAAATTGACAGAAAAAATCCACCTGTAAGTCACAAAAGTTCAAAAAAACTACTTACCAAAGCAGACCACCTCACAATTTGTTAGAAAGAAAGAGAAAAAAGAAAAAGAAAAAGAAAAAGAAAAAGAAAATAAAGGGCATTTTAATTAGCTGAGAAGGAAAAAAATCAGTCACAAATCGAACAAACATTTATTTCTCAAACATCACACGTGTTCAATCATGTAGTGACTGATGCCTAATATATGACTAATTAATTACGTCAGTGGTGGTGAATGGTGAAGGCAATGCCAGTGGTAAAGTGGGTAAGACTTTTTTATTTTTTTTATTTTTATCAGAAAGTAGGTAAGACTTCAAGTGTTAATTTTATGCCGCGTTGTGATATGGTGGTGATGCGGTGCAGTTACTCACGACTCGTTTGGTAAATGATTTTTTAAGTTAAAAAATAAAAAAGTTATTAATAAAATTAAAAAATTAATAATTCATTAGTCCTTTTGGATGTGTAATAACTTATTTGCCCACCATATTGGAGTGTCACATTTAGAAAACGTACACTAAAGAGTTTTTAATTTTTTTTAGAGTGTCACATCATATCCGTCTTGTTGGAGTGTCACCTGGCATGTTTAGAAAAAGTACACTAAGGAATTTTTTATTTTTTTAGAGTGTCACATCATACTCGCCACGTTGGAGTGTTACATGTTACATTTTTAAGGAGTTTTTAATTTTTTAGAGTGTCACATCATACCCGTCACATTATCACATTAAGAAAAAGTACAATAAATAATTTTTTTTTGAAGTCTCACATCAATACCCGCCACGGTGTCACATTAAAGAAAAATATACTAAAGAGTTTTTTTTTTTTTTTGAGTAAAAGTTTTGGAGCGTCACATCATACCTGTCACGTTGTCACATTTAGGAAAAGTATACTAAGAGTTTTTAATTTTTTTGAAGTGTCACATTAATAAAAGGGAATAGTTGTCTACCAAAACACTACCAAAATAAAAAAATAGGACCACACAAAAAGAAACTCTCCACTAATAAGACTTAATAGATCAATAGAAAAAACTTAAGACTAATTAGAATTAGATGAGATTTATTAATAAACATCTCTACATAGAATTTTAGTAATAAATAGATCATCACATTGTGTAGTACCTAATGTCAAATTTAATAATAAATAAGGTCATATTGTGCAATGATAAGTAAAGCTACAAAAATCACTTCATTTTTAAAGAAAAATCACATCTTTTGTATATCCATTTTTACTCATTATCAATCAATGTTAAAATTTTATTTTATCCAGATTTAATAGTTGAGAATAGTTTTTTGAGTATGACACCAAAACTATTTATTTATTTTTTATATTGAAAATGATACATTTTCAAAAAAAAATGATACATAATTTTTGACAAAATAATGTGATAATGACATTGTTAAAAATATAAGTCATCTTTATATACCTTTAAATTTAGAAGAAGTTATTTTTGAGATTCCTAATATTAAGATTTCATAAGATAACGGGTATACAGTATTTTCATAGTAGTTAAGGTTCCTCAACATTTTTATAGAGAAAATTTGACTTAGAGAAATTTTGTCATACTCAGATAAATTTTGCCCTGACTTAGAGAAATTTCAAAATTTTTTAAAATTTCTCTATGATCATACCAGAGAAATTTAATTTCTCTGAATCGGGGCCAAATTTCTCTGAATTAGGTGAAATTTCTCTAAGTCGATTTTTTTTTTGTGAAATATGGAGGGACTTTAGTTAATAAAAATAAATATATCTCGGACCTTTCCTACTACATAAAGTTAGAGAGGGATGTTTCACTAATTTTTCCTTAAATTTAAAGTGATAAAATAAAAAAATCATTATATTATTTTGTATTAAATTTTAGGGTAAATCACACTAACCTCCCTTAAAATTTGTGAAAAATACAGTTCGCCACATATTTTGACATAATTACACTAATTTCCAATGGAATTTTAATTTACATAACAATGAGGTTCCTTTTCATCAATAATTGACCAGTTGTATGAATGAAAAAATAAAATTGTCATCTCTCATCTACTAAAATGTATATTATCTTTATTTATTTCAATGTTTATTCACCATCTATATTAGTTTTAATCGATTTAGCTTAACTAAAAAAGAAGTCAGTATAATTATATTAAAAATATAAGACTAACTGTATTTTTTTTTCAAATTTTGAAGGTCTTGAATTTATGTATATTTTTTTATTTATACAACACTAGTCTTGTTGTACCATCATCCCCAAAAGGGCCGAATGTGTCCAATTAGCAGTGTGTTGGGGGTTTAGGCCTCCCCAACCGTCGTATGGGCCTTCTAAGGCCCAAATAAGCCGATATATGAATTCAATTTGGGGTCGACGACGGCCTCATATCATTCTCGAGAAGGGAACTGAGAAAACCATAGGTAATTTTTTTTTTTTTAAATTTCAATTAGGTTGTTTTGGTTTAGTTCATGAATTTAGGAGAATTTGGTAAAAGAAAGGAAAAATATAAGTAAAATGTGAAATAAATATAATTAAATTTTACACATATTTTTCATTTTTCTTTTCAAATCCCTCTCTAAATTCATGAACTGAACACAATCTTAAGAGGTGATTAATTTTAAAAAAAAATTACATATCAATGTCATCTTTCAAAAATAATTATTGATTCATGAAAATATTTATAATTTTAATTATTAAAATTTGTAAAGTTTATCACTAACATGATTTTTTGAACAAACATACATTGAAATGTTAGTTCCCATTAATTTATAGCTAATTTTTTTGTTTCAACTTGCAAGTATGAAAAGTAGAGGAAGTGAATTGCATCGATTTGGTATGATTTTTTAAAATTATTTTTAAGTGGATTTTTTTTTAATTTTTTCGTAAATTTTGAGGGCATATATTTATAAATCTAGTCACCTAATTATATTATATTCCAATAAGTTCTATGGGTAATATAATTATCAAAATATTCCTCATAATAATAAGGTAAAGTGCGTATTAATGTTCACATTGACAGTTGAATATTTCATGATATGAATATTCACATCACCAAATTGCTAAGTAAAAAAAAATATATTTGTAAGTGCAAAATTGTCCATCAAAAATCTTAAATAGGAGAGTTAGGATTTTGTAGATCAAATATCCAAAATAATATAATTTATTAGAATACAAGAATATCGTATGAACTAATTGGAATACAAGTACTTCAAGGAAGAGTTTCTAATAAATTTCCTTAAATTTTTTCCATATTTTATTTTAATTTTTAGATATATCATAAATGCACATGTTTTTATTCAACTTTTCATTTGTTTTAGTGAACTAAGTTTATATTTTATTCAATTTGTTTTTTTTTTTTTAGTTTTTTTAAATGTATTAAACTAGGGGCTTCTAAAAAGAAAAACAATTTAATTAAAATATGAAAAAAAAATCAATAAATACAAATGAAAACTAAACAAAAAGGGTTTTCGAAAAAGATTTGGATGTTTTCAAGTTGG